AGGAGCAGTTGGGTCTCGTTGCTGTCGATCTGTCGGATCAAAAACAAAAATATGAAGGGTTTCCTGCGGCGGATCCGATGCAGTTGTTGTCGCTGCCAAGTGGGGTGAGATGCCAGGTGGCTAGGATGCGTCGCTGACTGGGTGCTGAGGGCTCTCGGTTAGGGAACGCCTAGCTGAGAACCTATTGAGAGGATATAGACATAAGTTGATAAGAGGGAGAGAAGAAGGATGAAATTGGAAATGGGATTTTAGTGGAAAGTTCTGTCTTGCATTGATATCCTTTAGGAAGGTGTCGTTCTACCTGAATAAGGCGGGTACCAAAACACGGGGCTTTCCTATCTCGGCACTTATGAGAATTACAAGTTAAGGATATGCGACTCATTCGGGCCTAGACAAAAAAAAACGTACATTGTATTTTCTCTAATGTCAAATGCTATGGTTTCTCATTAACCCGCACCGCTGCCCCTACACAGCGGCCAGGATACCAGACAGCAAAGAGAAGAGCCACTAGCGCAATAGGCGCGAATTCAAGGCATGCGAAATAGACCTCGTTGGTTTGCAGCTCTCCCATAAGACCTTGACCAGTTTCCGCAAGACGGAAGATAGTTCTCAAATAAACCATGAGGGTCGAAATGGAAAAAGCCAAGCAGAAGAGCCCGAGATCATTTGCTCTGATAGCATGTCGAGCTCGGAACTGGAAAGTCGCCGCCACGATGACGAAAATAGTCATAGCGAAGACCTGGTACGCAAGGCCACCCAAGAGGATATTGTTTGCCGTCGTGGGATCTTCCCGGCGCGACTCTGTAATGCCAATGAGACACGCGCCGGCGACTTGGACGATTGTTGAGATGATATCCGAAGTAATGAAGAAGGCTAGGATGATCTTGGGGGGTAAGAATGAATACTTGGTCCCTACTCGTGGGATCAATGCCGATAGAATGGTGTAGATACCAGCGGCAAGCAATACAGGCGCCACAACGATGAAAAAGTAGTTGAGGATGAAGTAGATGAGATGGTAAGGATCCTTTTTAGCGGAGAGGGATCGTGCAATATACCCTATCACCTCGAAAATCAGACCAGCGGAGAAGGTCATCCACCACCAGCTACGGGCTTTTATAGTTTGTGTCGTGTGGTAGACGAAGTGAAGAAAAAACCACGCGGCTGCGAAGGCAGCTAGAGCGATGGAAGGCGTGTAGCCATAAATGATGACGGGGGTATCCCTTTCGCCGCCTGGGATTGGAAAGTTGGGGTCAACATAACCATACGATCGTTCTATTCTTTTTTTGTTAGTGATCTGAAATGATATCCTGAAAAGCTGCGTTCAAGTGCCATACCTGTGATATGGTTCTCCATCTGTTCTGCCCTCGAATTCGCTGCAGAACGGGGCCAGACGTTTTATATGTAGGTAGTATTAACGAACACGCCAATGGAATTTACCTCGTTCGCGTATTCTAGATATGAAATGGAGATTTGACCAGCTCAGACTCCTCTACGCGAGCTGCCAAGCTCCACCAAGGAACGTCGCGTAGCGGAATCCATGAACATCTTCTGATCGTTTCGCGATCGGACCTATCACAAGGTGTGATCTAAATCATACGGACCTCCTAACTTCGATCTTTTCCTATCCACACAACCCTCTTACATCACAAATTTAGATACATTTGCTACTCCAACATTCTCGCTTCAAGGTCCTTAGAACCTTCGAAAAATGAAAACCCACGTGCCCAGTCCTGGAGGCTAATGAGCTGACTCAGCTTCTCGGCTGTCTGGGGAAAAAGCCGAGGTTCACCGCGAGAACCTTTGGTATGTGGGGAAAGGGTTCCATATCAGCCATATAAATGATCTTGCTTAGACCTTGAGACCGTTCCATCTAAACCCCATATCAAATATTACAGTCATGTCCACCGTCAACCCATCATTCCAGGAGGCCATCAAGGTCACTCCACAAGGCCCCAACAAATATAGCGCCTTCCTCCAACCAGAATGGTGCATTGGAACCGGTATATCAAAGCCCATGTAAAGCTCACCTCCCATTGACCCAAAGCTAACACCCCCGTCAGTCCCGCACGGAGGCTACACAACAGCCGTAATCTACCAACTTACTCTAACGCACTTCGCGCACGCCCACCCAAAGCAATACAAAAGCGCCGCGTCCCCAATCTCAATCCAACTTTCTTTCCTGCGACGCACAGCCGCAGGCCCCGCAACCTTCGAAGTCGAAGACGTCAAGATCGGCGCGCGCACAAGCATAATCCATATCAGACTACTGCAGCCCTCTGAAAAGAAACCCGGCCAACTGGACATCATGGTCGCTGGCTATGTGACTGTCAGCCCGCCGGACGCCGAGGTCGGCATTAGCGCGAACACAGGATGGAAGCCTCACCCTTCTCCGGTGGCGGGTTCGCGCGCAGACGGGTCCGTTGATTTGGAAGCGCTGGGCCGGACAGGTACTGACGGGGCTTGGAGGAAGCTCGAGGCGCCTTTCACGTCGTTCCGGAAGGCTGCGGCGCAGATCGAGCTGTTTGGTCCCGGTTCTGGGGAGACGCAGCAGGCACGCTCTGGGAATATGGGGATCGATCAGTGGGCTCGGTTCCGGCCTGGGGGTGATGTGAATGGCCGCTGGACGGAGGCTGCGGTGGCGTATCTTATTGATATGTTTCCGATGGCCTTGGATGGATTTGATACTATGTCTGCTACTGCTGCGGCGAAGGAGAATGGGACTTCGTTTGTTGAAGAGAAGGCGAAGTTTTGGTATCCCACTGTTACGCTCAATGTCGATATGAAGAAGCACCTTCCTGCTGAGGGGGTGGAGTGGCTTTATAGTCGGATTGAGACTAAGGTTGTTAGGGATGGGCGGACGGATTTGGAGGTTACGGTTCTTGATGAGGATGGGGAGGTTGTTGCGTTGAGTACGCAGGTTGGGTTGGTTGTTAGCGCTAGTCGGAATGTTGGGACTAGGAAGATGGAGAAGTTGTAGATAGTTGTCTCATAGATGCATATACATTTAAAGAATAGATTTTGTATGTTCAATCCAGGCTCGGTTTCTGTTCTATATATGATTTAGTTGGTTAATACTGTATGTGCAAGGCCGGGTGTTATATGTACGGGATCAAAATCCCCATAATGTACATCGGGGGAAGTCAATCCCCAAGTCTATGCTTCAAGTTTTTGAGCCCGAAAAGAAGAAAAGAATGACGCTCATAACTTCGAGTCAGCTGTCTCAATCCAAAATGCCATAGCATCAGCCTTGACAACCTTCCTCTTAGCCCACTCCAAATGACCCCCTGCACTCTCCTCATCCTCCTGCAACGCCTGCGCCCGCACCCAGAATTTCCTCCCGACCCTCCCAATAACTCGCGCCTTGACAACCAGCAAAGCGGGTGTAGCCACCCGCTTTTTATACCTGACGTCTAGTTGTGCGGTAAAGATCTTCCCGCGTGGGTTATCCTCAGCCGCACGGAGCGCAGTGGGCGCATTGGTATGCGCTGCGACAGCGAGGGACATGGCCTCGTCAATTAGCGTCGCGACAAGGCCGCCGTGCACAGTGGATGGGTGGCCGGACAGACCGGGGCTGCTAAGATCAAAGATCATGATGATGTCCGCAGGGTTCAGCCCCGGGGTGGGCTTTACAGCGGATGCGGCATCTTGTTTTGTTGCGGGGAGCCAGGTGGGGACTTCATCAGGCGCGGGTGTGAGGTTGCGCCGTTGCAGGGTCAGACAGTGAGGGATTGTGGAGGATGTGTTGAGAGTTTGCGCGAAGTAGCCATCTTCACCGGTTGTAGGCTTTAGGCGCCGAGAGTCGGTTTCGATTGGTATGTAGTCGGCCGAGGAGATCAGATTGTTTGCCCATGAGTTGGTGCGGAGATGCGCGATGGCGGGGGCTGGGTCGGCCATTCCTTTTTTTATTTATTTATTTTTTTTTTCTTGCTGTTGTTTCGTCTTGGTTATATCTGGTTCAATTGTCATAAGCGGGGTATAGACAAAGGATGTAGCAAGGTGTTTCAGCCGTTTCAGCAGTAACTCAGTACATATATTAGCCAACCTTGAAACAGTGTCAACGGTCAATCATTTAACCTCGGCTCCGGCTATAACAGATCAGGGCATGATGAACAGTCACGTGGATACATTGGGTCAAATCATTTGGCACGGTCCAATGATGTGCGAGCCTTGGAAAATTGATTTGCGGTGGAGCGAATATCAGAAGCTTTGAAGTAGATATTCCCCTGCCTTGAATTGAAGAACCAATCATGCAGCTATCACGCACAGACAATGCATTGTCTCACCCCCGGCATGTAACCGGTAGTTAACCGTAAGGGAGATGATGGGGGAACGGAATTTGGGAATTTGGGAATCTGGGAATCTGGGAATTCGGGAATTCGGGCAAGAATGCGAGGGTAAACATACGAACCATAAACTTATCGAAGGGTCCTGTACGGAGTAATCCGTATCACTGTAGCGCACTATAGTGCATTTCAACAATCCCCGTGCAGAGGCTTCTGATTCGTACGGATTGTAGCGGCAGGGGTAACTTGGCCTGACTAGGGTTAGTTACACAGCCAAGGACCCTCCAATTTGAGTGGGTAACCTTTTGCCGACTCTCTTAGGTCAGGCGTATAGCCAAATTATTCAAAACAGGTAAAACAGGGCCTGTGCAACTGAAATAATATGAAATAATATGAAATCATATTGAAATAACACATGAAATAATTCATTAGTTAGGTAGCTAGGTAGCTAGTGATATCTCTCTCCACTTGGTATGCCAATTATACCAATTAGGGGGTTACCCTGCGAGTTCTTTCCAGTTTGTTTGCAAAAACACAAAAACCTTGACCCTTGGGACCTTGGACCTTGGACCTTAGACCTTTTGCATTCAAAGTACCTGCCCGTTCTTTGTTTTTCTTCCTTATCTCTCTCTCTCTCTCTCTCTCCCTCTCCCCTCAATTCTCCTCCCTTCTCTTCTCTTCTCATCCACATACACAGCATCTCTAATTCCATTCATCATGCGTTCCTCAATTATCTTCCTTTCGGCTCTGGCTACTTCCGTCATGGCTGATAATTCCACTGACACTTACACCTTCCCCGCTGGCTTCAACATTGGTTTGGTGGACAGTGCCAACTTGAGTATGTACCTTCACAGTTCTCAAAACAGGATACTAATGAAGTAGACTCCTACTGCTCTGCCCAGCGCAACACTTGCCCCCAAATTTGCCAGCAAGGCACCAAGCTCAACTCGTGTGACCCGGTACGTTGCTATGTGTCGCGTCTGTATGACCAGGAGATTAATGGTTTGAACAGACCACCCTGAAGTTCAGCTGTGTCTGCAGCGATGGTTCCACCCCCGATGTGACCCCTTACTCGCAGACCGTTCCTTTCTTCGTCTGCCAGGAAACCTATGTCCAGTGCATCGCCTCGCACCCCAACGATGCTGATGGTCAGCGTGCCTGCAAGAAGGCCGCCGACTGTGGCTCCAAGAACGCAAGTGCGGTGACCACCACCGCTTCTACTTCCACCATGTCTTCGACCACTCTGGCCTTGGCCACTGCGACCGAGTCTTCCAGCTCCGAAACTTCCTCCGTGGCTCCTGCCAGCACTACCACTAACGCCGCTGTCGCTCTCGGTGACCTGACTCAGTACTCCACTGGTCTGATGGCTGGTCTCATGTTCGTTGCTGCGCGCATGGTCCTGTAAAGGAATGATATTCTTCGGTCTCTGGGAAGCTAAAACACCCCTTGACGGTTGGGTCGCATAGCGTCCTCTTTGTATTCCCTTAACTCATCGCGATGCCATTTGCTTTTTTTTCCTCGAGACATTCGATTCCCCTCTGAATACTCTTGACTCATTATGATTGTCCACATGTTTATGAACGTGGCGCCTGTCCTTTCTTGTTTTGCTTTGGCTCGGAGTTCCTTATTTGTCTGCGCAGGTGACCCATTTTGCGCATGAACTATTCGATTAAAAGTAATATCACCAATTATTGCTGACCCATTGGCCAGAGAGAAAAAAAAAACCATTGTGGAGATTGTAGCGTAAATATTAAATATTTCACATAGATAAAAGATTCAAAATCAAGTCAAAAGAAGAGTAAAAGGTAGATCAGTCGAGATGTTTCAACTGTGGTGTTCCTCTCGCCAAGACTTTTTTGGCACACACTGAAATTTCTCAACTTATCGATAGACTCCACCATCAAGAACTTCACGTTCTCTCTTCCTCTCCTTTTTCCACATCCAACATCATGCCCGCCCCTACCAATACCCTCCTCATTGAGGGTTCCTTCTCCGAGCTCGCCGATGAGTTTGCCCAGTACATCGATGCCCTCCGCAAAGAGGGTAGCCTCCAGTCCGAGATCGCCCCGCTCCTCGAACCTCTCCGCCAGCAGGAACAGTCTGAAGGCGAGGCCGACCTTAAGCAGCGCGATGAAGTCCTGAAGAAGCTTGTGTCCTCTGCTACCGCTTTGAACAGTGCCCCTGAGAAGGGTAAGTAACCGAAAAGTGTCGACAAAGAACGATCTGGAGATAGTCGGAATCTGGCGACACTTCATAATCTTTAATAGACAAAAACTGACATAGATTTTTAAAAAAATGCAGAGATCACCTCCGCCTACAACCTCCTGGTCCACCTCGTGCACCAGTCTTCTGACGCCGACGTGTTCCTTCCTCGCATCTGCACCTATCTCGCTAAGCCCATCACCACCTCGCCTCAGTTCGGTCCCACGCTCGCCATCTCTATTCTCACCACCATTTTCAACACCCTGTCTTCCAACGATTCAAGCCGGTACCACGTTCTCCTCGCTGTTGTGGCCGTGATCCGCCAGTCTGGATCTGGAATTGCCTTTGAAGCCCTCAAGCCCCAGCTCACTTCGCAGCTCCCCACATGGCTCTCCGCGTGGGAGTTGGACAGCGATGACACCCGGAAGTTGCACATCGCCATTGCCGAGGCCTCCACCGCTGCCGGTGATGAGGATTTGGCCCAGACTCACATCTTCCAAGCGCTCGAGACCATCGACGCTGCCGACGTCAGCAAGCCCGAGAGCCGCGAGTTGGCTGTGCGCGCACTCGCTACCGCTCTGCGTCGCTCCACCGTCTTTGACTTCGCTCCCTTGACCTCATCAGACGCCGTGCAGGCTCTGCGCTCCAGCGACAGTACCCTCTTCGAGCTGCTCGAAATCTTCACCTCGGACACCCTGGACGCCTACGAGACCTTCGTGGCTGCCAACCCGCTCGCTTCCATCTCTGGCGGTGTGCTCGCCGAGTCCGGCGATGCCCTGCAGGCCAAGATGCGTCTCCTCACTCTCACTTCGCTGGCATCCTCCACCCCTTCGCGCTCGCTCCCCTACGCCACCATCGCCTCTGCTCTGCGCGTCCCCGCCTCCGATGTCGAGATGTGGGTCATCGACACCATTCGTGCCGGCCTCGTCGAGGGCAGACTCTCCCAGCTGAAGTCCGAGTTCCTTGTGCACCGCGCCACTTACCGTGTCTTCGGCGAGAAGCAGTGGTCCGAGGTCCAAGGCCGCCTGATGGTCTGGCGCCGTTCCCTCGAGAACGTTCTGAGCGTGATCCGCTCCGAGCGTGAGCGTTTCGCCCGCGAGGGCATTCAGGCCGCGGCTGATCAAGAAGCCAACGCCAACCGCAACGGTAACGGTGACCGCCGACGCATCCAGCCTGCGCAGTCCCAGGCGCGTGAGGTTGAGGCTACTGCCGAATAGATGTGTCCTTTTTTTTTATGAATGGAAAAGTTCACAGAACACAAAAATCTTTCAGTTAATAGAGGGGAAATCTCGCTGTCTTTTCCTCATGCATTTCTTTTTTCCCTGGCCAATTGTAGGGTTGGATTTTCACTGCCCCCGTTGGATGTTTGGGACCGCACGAGTCATGTCATGTCAATCTTAGTCTTGTTTATGTTTTCCGGAGGGATAACTTTTCTTTTGTTCTATTTTTTTTTTACTCTGGCTTAAAGAATATTATATTTCTTTAGACTGGTCTTGGTTCATATCCGTAGTCAACATCTTCATTGGTTTCAGGGGGGCCAAGCATCCATCTAAACAAGAAGCTCAAGTTTAAAAATGCTTAAATTCATCTATACTCCCAAGGTCTATTTCCAAGTTGAGCAAAGAAATCACACAGCTCTCAACCCCTAAATTGACCGCAACTCTATTTACATCGATACAAAAACACTTCTTAGCGAGCCTGCAAACCACGAGCCTCAATGCCGGCCTTAACCTCCTCATAGACCTGCTCAATAGAACTATCAGCCTTAACCCAAACGACCTTATCCTTCTTCTTGAAGTCATCAACAACAGGCATAGAGGTCTCAACAAAAGTATGGAAACGCTTGCGAATAGAAGCCGCATTATCATCATCACGACCACTAGTCTCACCACGCTTCAACAATCTAGCTTCCATAACATCCTCGGGGCAATCAAGGAACAACACGAGCTCAGAGGGGCAAACAGTCTCCTCGAAGAAAACAGCCTGGTCAAGCTTGCGAGGGAACCCGTCGATCAAGAAACGGGCCTTGGTGCCAGCCGGAGGCGGCGAGGTTGCCAGTGAATCGGCCATGGCATTCGACAGCAACGCAACGGTCACTTCCATAGGCACGATCTTGCCTTCGCGGATGTATTCGCGGATCAGCTCGCCGTACTGGCTGCCTTCGCGGATTTGTTCGGCGCGCAGGAGATCGCCGGCGGAAAGATGCACGAAACCGTAGTCTTTGACGAGGTTCGCGGATTGAGTGCCCTTTCCGCTGCCTGGGCCGCCGAGGAAGAAGACGACTGTTACGTCGTTTGTGGAGAAGCGGGGAGTGGACATTGTGGGTGGTTGGTTGTGGTTTTGGTTGGGAGGTTGAGGGAGGTGAGGTGATGTTAAAGGGGGTTTAGGATTGTTGTTTGTGGGGGGGTGTCGGTGTGTGGAGGGGCAGCACTTGTCTTGAAACGGAAGTTAGTTGGGGCGGTTATTTCTTTTTGTACAGGCCCTAGGCCAGTGCTTACTTCAAGCTAGTTTTGGCGTGTGTTGATGCCGGTGCGGGACTTGACAAGATAGACGTAGGCGCCGGAGCTGATGGCGGTTATGAGGATGATTGGGATGATTGGGAAATTGGAGCGGCTGGATTGAGGGGCGGAGGGTGCGCGTGGCGGCGAAGATCTCGGAGAGTTCGAGGACAGGCGGTGGGGTACCTGGGTCGATCGGGTGAATTTCTGACTGGTGAAGAGCAGAGGCTTGGAGCGGACTCCGGAGAATTGACGGGCTAGAGAGAACATAGAGAACGAGAGAGGCTTGTGGTTGTTGAAGAGGGAAAAAAGAAAAAAGGAGAGATCGCCGAAACAGGATTAGCTGCTGATCTGTCTGTATACCTCGATGCGGTTGTGTACAACTTATGTGTGTACGGCTTCGGCTTCACCTTCAGTGGCGAGTGGTATTTGGTAAGATTAATAACTACTTCATAACTATGCATGGCCAATAGAAATGCTAAAAATCTATACTAAGTATTAAGATTCCGAGGTTAACTACCGTGTCTTGTACGGCCACAGGCGCCATCCTTCACCAGTGGTCTCCTTCGTATTTATATATATATAACCTTGCTAGAACAAGATGAGATCCACGCTTTTACGTTTACAATATTATTGGACCCAAAAATGCTTAAAAAGCTTCCCTGGAGATATGACATGTTAATCACGCGTGTTATATATATTCGAACTTGTAAACAATCTATTAAATGCCAGCTGTGGACGCATCTGAGGAGCAATGGCTGCTTTACTAAGCTTTGAATATAGATTCCAGGCCTTCGGGAATAGCTCCTTTCATAGGGAGGTCCAGGCTAAGTGGACACCGAGGTCAATATTTTAAGACTAGGGATCATGATTTGTTTGTTGGATTGTAAAACTAGGGTCCGAGAATGATACATGGGTATTATGTATGAGACCAAAGAAGCTTCGGAAGCGAACTGGATGCAGGCCAAATCCCTATTCAAAAACCCTACATAAAAGCCTACATGTTGTACAAGGAGGAACAAGGTGAATGTGAATTAGGTTGGGTCAGAAGCAAATCAAGGGGTTGACCTGAAATCATCCATTAGTCCCAGGTATTTACATAGTACATGACTATGTAACACCAAAGCTTTAACTTTTGCATACAACACTAAGCCGCTACTTACAATTCGAGGCTATCTGCTACGTTACCCTAGGTACGGTTGGTTCTAGGTCGTACTATGTCTCAGAGCAAAATGCACTGTCCACCTAGTTCCAACGTACCACCCTTTTTTTAGGTTCCGGGGTAGTATCCCTCCATTTCAGATATCTCAAACCTATATAGTGTCGGTAGTATACTATAAATATAATTATGATTGGATTACGGACGAGCGGCAGTGCCAACCTAATTAGGCGGGCTCAAGAAATACGCCGAGATACATTTCTAGGGCTCATCACATATTTTGCTATCTCTATAGTTCGGGAAGCAGCCGAGCTCACCTGCAATCAATAAGTATTTATCTTCACCTCCTATTATTCACGGTTTCCACTTTAAGGCGGACATAATTACTTATTCAACCGTGGCTAGACGGTGTTTGATGAAGTCCACGACGTCCTGATTGTACTTCCATGTATAGTGGTGATGTGCGGTATTGCCGTCTGGTAGGTATAGCAAGCAGCATTGCTCATCACCGTAATGACAATAGCTGTGTATTGAGCTACCAAAGGGTCCACACAAGGCTGAGTTAAAGTGGGGAAGGATCTAATCCATTCGCTTTAGATCATAATTCAACACTTGAATCCGGGGAGTTTGTAGTACTCACGCCGATACCCAGTGCGCAATTACCCACATTCCACGGCATTCCAGGAATGTATGCCTCATCGCTATATCCAATCGCAGCTATGACTAGTATTTTATCGGATCCGTGTTCTCTGACACGTGGTTCGAAATCATGTACTAGTCGAGTTGTAGAATCACGCAAGAGGGCCGACGAAGAGAAATCCGACCTCACTGGTTGCGCACAGAGAATCCATCATAAGAAATGTTCCCTAGATGACAATGAGCTTAGCATTTTGGGTGATTGATTGGCATAGTACAAGCACATATTGTTATATGTGGGTGTTAGACCTCCGCAAAGCCCACGAAGCCCAAAGCCCTACCCGCGCCAACCCACTAATGGGCTGGGTTTTGGGTCCGGTCCTTAGGCCCACCGAAATATAACAGTGCTTTGGGAGAGTGAAATAGCAGTAGGCAAGTTACCAATTGCGACTTCAGCTGATTTGGAGAAAATGTCATCGCCCAGAAAAGCTACAATAACGGCTGGTGGGTAGCGCTATCTCAATTTGGCGATACTCGGGTTGGGCATAACTCCACCAAGAAGGCAAGAGGAACGCTACTAACATTTAGATGAATAACTGTGTATATCAAGGTTCAAAATCTAACTATCTTGCAGAATATGGACTTTGAGGATCTGGAACACCTCAGGCCTAAGTTTGTGTATTCCTCAACGGGCCTTGTGCTGTCACACCGCGCACAGAAGGACTTTGTACTTCCCATGAGCCACCACCTTCGACTAAACTTGATACGCTCTATCGATTAAGTCTCGCAAGGCATTTCCCAACTCGGTGATGACTGGACCGGACCGAGGAATAGTGTGGCCCCGTCCAGTGTCAAACATTGCTGCAGTATCAGGGTCACAAATGTTGAACAAGGCTACCGCGCCGTATCGATAGGGGTCTGTGCCAAAGACACATGGTGAGTATACTGTTTGAAATAGGCAATATATAATTAACATTACCATCTGCACCAACCACATGAAGTGTCGGAATGTCCAGAGTATAGTCGCTCTTATCTGCTAGGACCACGTCCTCCTCGGGGGAGAGAGGAGGCCAGCCGGTGAAGAAAACCGCGCATTTGATTTGACGAGGACGGCCAGTCTCCTGAGCCTTTCTATCCTCATCCAGGATTAGGCTCGCAGCCATCGTAGCACCCTCACTATATCCGACAATGCCTTCGATATCGGGGTTCTTCTCCAGCGTATCATAGAGGTACTCCATGACTTGACGGTGATTGTTCCAGTGGCCGTCCCAGTCTTTGCCCAGCGCTCTCATCACATCTTCAGGACACGAGCCATGGGGAGATTTTCGAACACGAGATATCATCGAGTCCTCTGCTACTCCTCCATCCTCCAACCACCTGTAATGCGGCCCAATACCGAAATATTCCGTGAACCCTAGGTAAGTTATATTGTCAGCTTTAATCAGTGTTTGAGCTCGAGGGGGTCGTACCTGCCGGTGGAGATACAGGAACAGGACCGTTGATGTAGTGGAACGAAGCGAAACTGTCCATGGCCATCTGCTTCACAAGCGGATCTGCAATATTGTCAGTGATTCCTCATTTCCAATACTCAAATTAAAATGATGATTACTGAGCTGAATATTCATATTCTGCGGTAGAGAGGTTAGCATTGATGTTCATCATCATGTCTCCCATAACCCACATCGATGTTGCCAATGGCACCATGAAGACATAAGAACCTCATCTTGTGTCAACCTGCAACAATATATGTGGGGAATATGATCTGATCCCGTATACTCGAGAAAAAAAAGCGGGGAAGGCAACGAGCAAATATAGAAACCAACATTGAAGATATACTACAAGTACATAGTAGGAAATATGTAGATTGCCGCTCGGGCTGTACAAGTGGTGTAAAGCAAATGAAACAGAAGCAGGGGATTTCCGCCGAGAATCAACTTCCCACAAACAATTGCTCTATCGAATAATGTGGGACGGTACACCATTTCAGCCAAAGTCACCAATTCCGGAATAACCACCGACCACCCAATGCTAGCAGAGCATCGATGGCCCGGAGCAGAGACAGCTTCATTGAGCTGTGCACCCCCAAAATGATCCACAGCAGGAGTGCTGGGGTGGGATATTTGCAAAGCTATATAATGCATCATAGCCACTTAGGTAGCCTATTTCCCTGATTTTCTTGATGTCGTCTATTTGGCCCTTCGAAATCCTTTAGAATCGCGTTACAGTTGCCCCTTTGCACTATTCACTATGACAAACATGAACAGTGCTGATTCTGAAGGTGCTCCTCATAGCGAGCAGGGCACACCCCAACCTATCGCCATCATCGGGTATGCTTGCCGGCTGCCGGGACAAGTTACATCTCCCAATGATCTGTGGGAACTATGCACCCGAGCTCGAAGTGGCTGGTCACCCATTCCCAAAAACCGCTTCTCCATAGAAGCATTTCGCCACCCTAACCCGTCCAAGGTTGGTTCCTTCAACCCCAAGGGAGGCTATTTCCTCGACGAAGACGTTGCACACTTTGATGCTCCCTTCTTCAACCTCACCGTTCAAGAAGCTACGTCCATGGACCCCCAACAACGCTTGCTGCTGGAGTGTGCATATGAAGCGTTAGAGAGTGCTGGCATTCCCAAAGAGAATCTTGCCCGCCGGAACGTGGGCGTTTTTGCCGGCGGTAGTTTCTCTGATTATGAGCTCAATAACATCCGCGATATCGAGACTATCCCCATGCACCAAGCCACCGGCTGCACCGCCTCACTGCAATCCAACCGTATCTCATACTTTTTCGATCTACGGGGGCCCAGTATCACAGTGGACACGGCTTGTTCTTCTTCACTTGTTGCACTCCACTATGCAGTACAGAGCTTGCGAAGCGGGGAGTCTAAGGAAGCCCTCGTTGCTGGTTGTCACCTTAACCTTGTACCAGATATTTGGGTTTCTATGTCCATGTCACAGTGAGGATTTTTGTGTTCTCCAAGCCAAGCTCGGAACCATAACATCTAACTATATGAAATTATATAGGTTGCTTAATGATGAGGGTAAAACCTTCTCCTTCGACGACAGAGCCACATCCGGTTTCGCGCGAGGCGAGGGCTCTGGTGTCATAATTCTGAAACCCCTTGACGCCGCATTGCGTGATAAAGATCCCGTCCGAGCTGTGATTGTACATTCAGGAGTCAATCAAGATGGGCGAACACAGGGAATTACGCTGCCAAATAGCCAGGCCCAGGAAGAGCTAATTTGGCGGGTCTACAAAGAGGCTAATCTCAACCCGGACGAATGCGGGTTTGTAGAAATGCATGGAACAGGAACAAAGACCGGCGATCCTATCGAAGCTACAGCAGTTCATGCGTCACTTGGAAGGAATCGCACTCGGAGGAACCCGCTTTACATCGGATCGGTCAAATCCAACATTGGGCACTTGGAAGGCGCCAGTGGCATAATTGCCATAATCAAAGCAGCCATGATGCTTGAC